CAATTTTATACAGTGTCTGTGGTGATGGTACCTTGCAACCTGCCACAAAAGACAACCTGTTACCAGAAAGCCAAATGACTAAAGGTGCTATTTTTTCCCCCTGGGATGGGACAGGTGATCCCTGGGGGGTGAGGAGTGTTCATGCAGGTCTGGGGTCCTTAACACAAAATGCAGCTCCCCCCCAGCACAGGAAATTACCAGTGTGTTGTACAGGAACCCCCAGGAAAGCAAATAATCCAGAAGGACTTATGCCACTGGGTGCCAAGGTCTGGTGGCACAGTGGAAGTCATGGTCCTGGCACCTACAGTGGTTCTTCATCCATTGCCTGCTCTAAGTCACATCCCAGGTCTTGGATTTGTCTCTCTCTGCTCCTCAGTTCCTTGCAAATCTTTGCTGCCTTCTCTCTGTGCATCCTCCCTGGCCACACTAACCATCACCATCCTGGGAGCCTCCAGCAGCTCCTGCCCCATCCCTTTGGGTGCACAGCAGTGATGTGGAAGGATGGGCCTTTCCCAAAATCCTCCTTTTGGCTCCATGAGCACCATCTGCTGCTGCTCCTAAGGACTGAAGGAGTTCCATGGGACTTTTAGTGGGAGTGGAAAACCCTTCTCTAAAGGACAGGGCAGTGGGGTCATGCAGAAACATTTTTATTCAACTGTAGAAAAGAAATACATCTAATTTTGCATGTTAGCTTTTTATAAAGCCCTCCCACCCTCGTGCAGAAGTTGTAAAAAGGCCAGTATTTTACAATTGGAGCTTTGTACACTTTTTTTTCCAGCAGTCATAGCAGCTGGGGGGGGGTCCCAGAGCAAGGTCACTGTTCCCTTACCCTGACATTTCCTTGGAGTGTGGGCTCTGTATTTATTGTCATTTATCCTGTAAATATGGGGGGGGCGTCGGGGGCATCTGAGGTCCTGAACTTGCAGCCTCGCCTGTTACATGTAGACAAATACATACAGTACTTAATAGCTGTAGCTTTGCTTTTTATATGTAAAAGTCTATTTAAAAAGAGATTTTAACCCCCCAGCCTGTCCAGCCCCCTCGGACCCTTCACATTCCGTCTCGCCCGCTGCTGAGGAGGAGCAGGAGGAGTTGGTCCCAGCCCTCCTCTTCCTCACCCCTGGGCAGCTCCATCTCTGCAGTCCGAGTCTCGGGGTGCTGAGCTTTACTTTGGAAATATTTTGTATCTCTATTCTTTTTTTTCCCCCTTTTTCTTTCCTTGTTTTTGAAGGGTAGGCAGGGACCCAGGTGGCTTTCGGAACTGTTTCCTGGTGGTGCCACTTGGAAGCTCTTTGAGATGAGGATGCAAAGAACAAATGCTTTTGTTTTGGTTTGTTTTTTTTAAAAAAAAAAAGGAGAGAAAACCAGAAACTCCATGTAAAAGCTTCTCCCACGTTACCATTATAATCCAGCACATGCTTCTTTATTACTAACCTACACCATCTATACCAAATAAACCCCTTCTAACATGTCTGGAAGTGCTGGGCTTGGATGGGGGTGTGCAGGTGTGGAAGTGCAGGAATTATCTCTGGCAATTCCTGTGCTCCAGCACACGTGAGGCTTGGGGTCAGGAAAAAACAAACCACACGGAATCTGGGCTTTTTTTTAACGCTGAAACTTGATAAAACTTCATCAGTGGGTGCGTGGTCGGACCTCCTGGGCTCCCCGGGACCTGCTGCCTATGCAAACTTCTGCTTTTGGAGATTGAAACAAAACCCCAGAAATTCTGCCTGTTGATCCAACATGAGCTCGAGTAACCTCTAGCGTCTCCTCTTTGTATTTCCCTTCAGGGCTTTGTATACTTCACTGAGGTTCCCTTTTTTAATTTTTTCTAAATATATATATATATATATATCTGTGTGTGTGTGTGTGTATACAGATTTATTCTCAAAAAAAAAAAAAATCCCCAACAGAACTCCCTTATAGGTGAAAAATGGATAGACTTGTTCACAATAACTTGTGACTGATTTTTTCTTTTAAGTCTTCAGACACACCTGGAAATGGCCCTCCCTCCATTGCTTTCTTATCCTCATTATTTTTGTCTAAATCACCAGGTGTGCCAGGAGGACAAAGAGCATTTCAAGCCCTGCTTTGCCACCCTCTCCCACAGAACAGAGGGGCAAACAGCATCCTCCTGTCCTTGCCCTATGGATAAAGTCCCCAAGGAATAGGTCAAGCCCTACAGGAGCTGGGGAGACTCTTTAGCCAGACAGTGGAGGGTCCTGGGGGACCTGCTGTCCCTTTGGAGCCAAAAATGTTACTTAAAACTCATCCATTACCCTAGTTTTGTGTGTTTTAAGGTCGCTCTAAAGCCTTGTGGCTACAGAGGGACTTGGTGGGAAGGTGAGAAGGGGACGTGTTGGAGGAAGGTTGGCAAAGTGACTGTCCTTTTTTGTTTTTAACCAAAAATTCAGTGTTTTGGACACCAAAAGGAATATTTCTCATGTGAAACGAAACCCACTCCAGCATTAGGGCCTGTTTGGTTTCTCCTCTCAGCTCATGCCACTCTGCTTTTCCAAAGCAAAAACCACGTTGCTTTGGGGTCTGGGTTTGGGGGCCTGGGATGGGGGCTCAGATGGTTCCCCCAGGGCTGAGCCCCCCAGAGACCCCCCAACCCTGTGCTTCCCATTTTGCACATCACCCTTGAGGAAAGAAACTCCATGAAAACAATGCAAAAACTGGAATTTTTTGCAATCTGATGAGAGAGGATCTTCATTTCAGCTCATTCTGTGACATGTGCGACTCCTAAGAAAGCCATACTTAATGGTCCTTTTTATTTTGGGATTCTGTCTTGTTTTGAGTTTCTGCCTTTGTTTTTCCCCCCCTAGTTCTGCATAGTACGAGTGCTGTGTGTATGCTTTCAGATATATTTATTTTTCAACGTGCTTTAAACCTGTCTACACAAATAAAGCTAAACAAAAAAGGAAAAAAAAGAAGAAAAAAAAAAGGACAGTGTTTGGAAGATTGTTGATTTATTATTTTCTTTTGCTGGGAATATTCTATATTATACTGACTTTATATTAATTATTATAAACCTGTGTTTGTATTGAAGATGTGTTTTAATATTTTGGGGAGGCTGAGGAGATGATGGTTTATTTTTTTTTTAAGTCACCAGAAGTCAGTGGGGAGAGACATGGCTGTGTTGTACTGATTTTCTGTCACTGTAGTTCAGGTAAATATAACCTTTTATTTTCTAGTTGATCTCCCAGTTTCTCGGCTGCCTGGGCATGCCCGAGGTGTGCCTGTCTTGATGATAATTACTTTGTGATGGGATTTAGCTTAGAGATACTTGCAAAAAAAAAAAACCACAAAAAAACCCACAACAACAAAGAAAAAAAAACCAAGAAAATCAATCAGTTTCAATAAATTGGGAAATTGCTGCTACGGTTTTGCCTCATTCTATCTTTTATTTTATTTTTTTTCTTAATAAATCTATTTATTTCTTCTTCCCTCCTCCATCTTGCAGGGATGGAGCTGGGGCTGTGCAGGGGCCGCTGGCACCACCCAGCTGCAGCCCTGGGGTGCTGCAGGGATGAGAGACCCTCACCCCGCTCCTCCTGTCATCGTGGGGGCTCAGACAGGGCCATGGGGACCCCCTCCCTGCTCCCCAAAATCCCCTCTCGCCCCCAGGTTGGGGGGGGGGGAGGGTGATGCTGCTTTTGCCTTTTCCTTTCCCATCCCCAATGGGCACCCATTTGGGATGGGAAAGGGAAAGGAAAAGGCTGTCTTAAAAGTAAGTGAAGAACCATCATAATTAAATAAAAAAGAATCAAAATATTTATTGTGGTTTTTTTTTTCTTTCTTCTGGATCTTCTGTTCCCCATCCTGGCATGGGGAGGGGGGGTCCAGCCAAACCCCATCCTGAGCTGCTGCCCAGGCAGGGGAATGACAGGACAAGGTGGGAGAAAGGGGTTTGTTTGGGGGGGGCAGGATAAAAAGGGGTTTAGGGAGGGGAAAGAATAAGGTCTTGAAGGGAATAAATCCCCTTAAAACCCCCTCCCCCCCCCCTCATCCTCTTCCCTAGGGCC